TCGTGTGTTTCTGTACCTATTTGTGGCCACAGCTTTAAATTATTTGTTTACAACTTAAGCATTGAGTAATTTCTTTGACCAAATTAAGAAAGCTTATCATATTTAGTGTGTGCTATTGAGTTCAAATTTCGTGCCCTGTACTACAGCGAGTAACTTGTGGCCATACAGCACGAAAGTACGACTGCAACGTATGTGCGCATCGTATATTTTGTGGCAGTGACAGATTTTCTAAATAGACATTAAGTTTGATTAAAGATACATGAAATATCAGGCTAATATCTCTATTCACAGGATAACGCGACGCTTTTTTTCTGTCAAATCTTTATTTTTACGCGAAAACGCATCGAGTGAGTATATTTTTATCGATATTTGAACGAGAAATGATCGTCAACGTGACATCAAATTGACGTCAAGAAAATTAATCCGCCGGTCACTAAATGGTACATTTCATCTGATGCACCGGTTACTAACCGGGATAGATGGTGGTGTTACTAATAGGGCCAGATTAAATTCAAACGGTCACAAATGCGTACATTTACATAGTCCGCTATTTCCTTTTTTATTTTTATTAGATTATGCTTAGAACTTCAGAAAAACATGTTTTTCGATACAAAAACGATTAATCTTGAGTTCGGTAAAATTAATTCCCGATTTTAATTATTTTTTAGTATTTTTTATTCTTATTAACTCATGCGACTATCTTACATGGTCACAAATAGGGACATTTACCTTATGGTACGCAAACAAAATTTGCTAGGTATATTTGATTTTGTAATAAAAAATTTTTACTATGAATAAGTGTAAAAATTACGTTATATTATTGTTTTTAAAAAAATAACAATAGCATTTAAACTTATAATTTACATGAAGACCGCAGCTACTACCACATTATAGTAATTTTAAATATAAAATTTTCTCCGTGTATATATTAGAGAAAATGACTACTGGTATTTTACCCTAACAAAAGTAGTGGCATATTGTCCCAAGATGCTATTTTATCTTATGATGAGCCTGTACAATACGGTTGTTAAGAAAATAAATCGTGTACTGAATATTTTTATTTTAACCTACGTTAACAGATTAACAAGCCAATCGAGCTAAATATTGTGTAATGTTTAAATAATAACTTACATAAAGCTCTATAAAAGTTATAAGAAGCACATTTTCGTATACCATGCCGTCATATTTATCTCATAAAAACAATACTGTTGCGAGAAAATTCTTGATACTTAGGGGAGACCGGGGACAAAAGTAACACGGGACAATAAATAGTAACATCGTCAATATTTCTTAAACTATAACAGATATATGTATGTGGCCGCATGGTAAAATTCTTTAAA